AGGTTTATTCTCAAGCCTTAAAATCTAATGGAATTTGCTCTGTCAGGTTTCGAACTTGCTTGGGACCCATGACTCCTTGTTTCCTTTCAATTTCACCCCTTTGGAATGAAAATATCTATCCTGTGCCTGTCCTACCATTGCATTTTGGAGGCAGTTAACTTGTTGTCTGGTTTCATGGGTTCACAGCTGCAGAGGAATCTCCCCCAGGATGAATCATACCCCGAATCTCATCTGTAATTGATTTGGATAATATTTGGGACTTAAGAGTTGATGCTTAAATGGCTTAAAACTTTGGAGGGTGTTTGGATGGGATGAATATACTTTGCATGTGAGGAGGGCATGACTTTTGGGGGAGCCAGTGCAAGAGTGCTATGGGTTAAACTGTGTCTCCCCAAAATTCATACATTGGAGTCCTAACCCTAGTACTTCAGAATGTGACCTCCTTTAGGGAAAGGGTCTTTACAAGGTCATCAAGTTAAAATGAGGTCAGTCAAGTGAGCCCGAATCCAGTATGCCCGGTGTCCTTAGAAAAGGGAAATTTGGACACAGAGACACAGATAGAAGGAAGACAATGTGAAGAGACATGGGAGGAGGCCACACCACCTAAAAGCCAAAAAGAAAGGCCTGGATCCTGGAACAGCTCTTTCCCTCATATCCCTAAGAAGGAGCCAACTCTGTCTATACCTTCATTTTGGATTTCCAGCCTTCAGAACTATGAGACGACAAATTTCTGTTGTCTTGTTACTGCAGCCCTAGCAAACTAATACAACACCATTTAATATTAGAAATATTAGAATAAAAATATTAATGTTTTTCAGCTTTATTGAGATAAATTGACAAATAAAAATTGTATATATTTAAAGTGTACAACATGATGTTTTGATATACTCAGACATTGTGAAATGATTTCCATAATGCAACTAATTAACTTATCCATGACCCCACATAGTTAACTTTGTATGTGTGTGGTGAAAATATTTAAGACCTACTCTCTTAGCAAATTTCAAGTTTACTATACAGTACTATATATACTAATAATTATTATTATTATTATTTATTAATAATATTTATTATTGATTACTATTATATACAATATATTGTATATATTGTATACTATATACAATAGTTAATAATACTGTCATCATGCTGTACATTAGCTCTCTAGAGCTTATTAATTTTGCATAACTGAAAATTTGTACCCTTTGACCAATATCTCTCCCAAAACATGTTAATGTTTAAATCATAACATTTATGTGATATTTGAACATCTATTAAATAGCTATTGATCATATTTGCCATAAGATGCTGCTAAAGACTTTAATTCCCTTAGAAAAATATATGTAATGAAGGTAGAATCACATCTTAATAGTTGTACTCATATTCTGCACTTTTATTATGGACCAAAAAGGAAAAAGTCAAAATAGAATGCTCTGAGAGCATATGCAAAAGAAAAAAATAACTGATAAGTAATTGTAAAATACTAATGAGTCATTTTCAGAATTTGGCTAAGCTTTAAATTTCAGAGCTAAAATCATGATTGTAATATGCAATAGATCAAATCTTAAGAGAAAGACTGATTTATTAAAATTATATAATTTCCCATCAGATAAAACTTGTAGACAAATAAATAGGATTATGCCTAAAAGCCAGACTCCTATTAACTCATTCAAGTTGGATTAATGGATATCACAAATAACAAGCAAAACAGTGTCATCTTTTACATCATTCTGAGCTCAGATTCAACTAATAGTTCTAAAAAAAAAAATACCAATTACATAATTTCCTATTTTTCATCATTAGAGCTTTTGCATCTTAAATTTGAAACTACTTAAAAGGAAATCTCTGCTTAAATAGGCATTGTATGTACATATGCTATAAATAGAACAAAGAATATCTAGAAGATTAGAAAAACACTCAACCTTTTAGCTTTGATTCTTGTTTTATACATCTGTTCCTAGTGCCTTCTTTTGAAATAAAAAATAGTTATTTCTTTTATACATTCTATGATTTAAAGCAAGATGATCCATTATCATGTTGTAAATTAGTACAGAATAATCCCTTTTGTTCTTCCAAGGTCTTATTTTCAACCAGAAATGAAGAAGTTTGAATGAGCTGTCTGGTGCAGAGCAAGGTAGAGCTTTCTTCATCTACCTCCCACATGCTGCCCTCCTCTGGATTTCTTGGTGCCCATCATTTTTCCTGAGCAGTGACAGCCTGAACAGACACTCTGGGAGTCAGGGATCATGCCCCCAACAGCCAACAGGATGGTTCTCTCTGGTGTGAGAGAGATAGGGCCACCTGCTCTCCTCCAGATATCAGTGGATATCACAGAACAGGCAAAATATTAATTTCTCTCCTCCCTCTTCTTCTCTATCCCACCCAGTTCCCAGATGCTCTCAGAGTACCAATGTCTTTTGAATTCAACCACCTATTTATAGGTGAGCAAACAGGATGACTAGTAGTTTATTGGGAAAACTTTAGAAGTTAATGAATGCAGTCTCATTTCTTTGATATATGCTGAGTGGTTACTCCCATTGGGAATAATGAGCTTCTCCCTGCCCCACTGGATAGAGCCTACCTTTAACACCATCCTACTGTGTGCAGAGGCACAGAGACCAATGGTTCCCATCCTGCAGGGCGTGGAGAACCCAGCCCAGATCTGTGCAAAGAAGACATGGCCCTAAGATATAGTCATTTAGGTGGAGCTGCAGTCACTGCATTCTTTATCAGGGACAGATTGATAGGAAGTACAGGTGCCCAGCTGGGTCCATACATTATGGGGGCAAAGCTGACTTGGCCACTGTCAGCCTATGTGACTTAACTTAGTTAACTTCTCTTGAAGTTGCAGTCTTGACAGGTTACAAGGGATCTGGATGCCATTTTAATGTAATGTTTTGTTTTGTTTTGTTACTTATAGCCTCCCTGGAGCATGTTCTTCAGTGTCTAAGAGTCCATTGGTGGCCCAAGGCTAATTAAAACCAAGCTTCCAGACAGGCTTTACTGAAATATATTAATGCTAAACATTTGCAAACAACCTGATTCAGGCATTCATCTTGCAATATTTAGGGTTTAATACCTTTTGTTTTTACAGCTGGTGGAGAAAAATAATTTCGGCAAAGATAGGTAAGATAGCTGGTCTTAGCTGCATTCGCCTTGGGGAAGTAGGGGCTGCTGTCCTGCTGTTCATGAGGTGAGAACTTTCCCTACCTGTTCTCAGTCACTTCTGAAAGCTCAATATGACTTTTCTGAAAATGGACTGTCCCTCTGCCAAAGCACATGCAGATTATTTGGACACACAGTGTCCTTTCTATGACCTATTAAATGCCATTTTTTCTGTATACTTCATGGCAGAGCCAGTTATTTTTGGAATGGGGCATAATGAAAAGTCACCCTGAAGTGACAGCAGCATGTGAGAAGTCCTTCTCTATAGGACACATTTTTAGTGACAGTGAAATTAATTCACAAGGTAAAATTGTCCTACTTAATGCCTGTACATCTCAATTTCCCATCTATAATTATAATAATTACCTACACTTATTGAGTACTTACTGTGTGCCTGGCACTATTCAAAGAGTTTTCTGTGTAGTAATCCATTTAATTCTTATAATAACTGTATGAGGTGGGACCTATTGTTACATATAAATGAGAAATAAGACCCATAACCACCTTGCAGGGTTTTTGCAAGGATCCACATGATGTGTGGCTTATGCAAACCTTGGGCAGAGTGCACAGTTTGTAGTTCCTTTCCCTCCCACTTAATGATGGACTTGAAATGCAACTCAGGTTTAAAGAATAAATTTGGGGTAATGTGAGACAGAAGTACAATATGGACAAGTGAAATTGCCCTGAGGAAAGAAAATTTTGATAATCTAAATATTTGGCTAGAAATCAAATTTGCATTTTTTACACAGAGCTGTCATCAACCTTTAATGAGTTGGCATATTCTAAGGAAGGAGAAGTTATCCTACACTTGTACTGGTTTCTTCTGTCTGATACCTAGACTTCACAGTATATCAGTTACTACTTCTGCTGCTCTTTCACTCTTCTATTCATTCATTCGATCAACAAATATTTATTACATTCCTGCTATGTACCAGTTCTTGGCACAGGCATTAAAGATCAGTGGCGAACATTGCATACTCTCTGCTCTCATAAAGCTTAAAGTCTAATGGGAAAGACAGACATTAATCAGTTTGTGCATGGATGAGTAACTCCAAACAGATTTAGCAACATGGTTTGAGGAGCATATGAAAAGGCTTTCCAAAGAAATGGAACTTAAACTGGGAAATAGGAGGGAAACCAGAAGAGTGTGGAGACATGAGCAATATGAGAGTCATAGGGTTTTGTCACATGTAGGTTACTAATGACCTTAGCAAGAAGTTTGTTGGTGTGTCTAAAATGGAAGGCAACCTGGAGTGTCCTAAAGAGAGACTGAGCAGGAGGTGGAAATAGCACATGAACAAGGTAGTTGTCCCAGAGTGAGAAGTGCTTGAACAGGAATGAAAACTGCACTCATATAGGAATATTTGCTTGGTAAAATTTCATATATTCAAACTAATAAAAGTTCTACTATAAAAAAACCATTTTTTGGACAAGGTAATAGCTTTATAAAATATAATGTTTCTTTCATTTATAGTGGAACTTCACCTGTGCTTCAGTTAAAAACATATTTTTAAAATAATATCAGACACACTGAAGTAACATTGCATAAATACATATTGTTTCAAATTTATTACCTCTTAAAATTCTGTTCTATAAACAAATCTGTGCTAATGAGATGTACTAACATTTGACTTTATCGTATTATATAGACCCACAACATTTCACTGGACGATTAAATATTTAGAGAGAAAATTAACTCTTTCAAGCCACTAGCAGATTGTTATTGCTTTGGGAATCAGCAGCCGCTGCTGCTGCCGTGAATAAAACAGGCATCTGTGACGCTGTGAAAAATTAAAAGAGTAATTTGGGGATGACAGTTACAGATTTTTATTCCCCTTGAAGCCATTTCTATCAATATAGTTTGTATGCATCTGTTTTTACTGTTGTCAAAAAGTCTCGCACATTCGACATTAATTGCATGAGGAAGCACATTAACTACTATTTTATTCATAGAAAAATATTACTCTGCGCTGTGCCTAAATGGACTCTTCTAATACTTAAGAAATTGATATGACTCTGTTAAGTACCCAACACTTCACTCAGGCAAGGGCATCATCTTCATGCGAAGCCAAGGGGATGCTGATTCCAGGTGTTAAATAGATTGAAACATAGAAACTGACCCAAATATCTGTGGTAAATATTTTCTCTGCTACTAATTCCCTTGCCATCCTCCCCTCTGGTTACTGTATATTTTTCTACAAAGAAAGTAATTAAGAAACAGCATGTCTAGTAAACTAACAGGTAAGTCACTGTCTTTTAGATATGGAAACCACATTCTAAGAAAATGGAAAGAAGCTGACCTGCACACCTGATTGTGTTATGTGAAACCCACTGACAAAAACAAACAAGAAACAGACTGCAAGCTAATCAAGTTCACCAGCCTGGAAGCTGATCCTTTCCCCCAAAAGCTGAGCAGATGAGAAACGTCAAGGTTGTTTTGGAAGTACTGTACTGCAAGATCCGGGATTAAGCTGCTTCATCAGACAGCCGGCTAGAAAATCCCATTTGTAAAATAGCTCCTGCCAGCTTCTTTTATGTCCGAAGTGAGACTCAATTTGGGCTAGAAAATACACCCCTGTCAGCGGCAAGGAAGAGGAAACACCAAGCCCTGGATGAATGGACAGCAGGAGCGCAGGCTCACCCGCACAGAACTGACCGAGTACAGTCTTTTCCAGCCCTGAAGGACAATCCTTTTGTAGCTGCTGAGAAGGGGGAAGGAGAGCATCCAGACCAGCTGGTGGGCGGCTGGCAGCGGGGGGCTGCACGGTGGCCGGCCACCCCAGTGGGAGCGCTGGGCTGTAGGCAGCCGGGGAAAGGCGTCCGGAGTGGAGGGGCGGGGAGAGCGCCTGCACCCTCGCTAGGTCTCCCGCGCTGCATCTGGGCGGCCCCTGAAGCCAGCAGGGGAGAGACTTGGGACTGGAGCGGAGCGGAGGTGGGCAGAGCCCCTTCCCCCTGCTGCTACCTGCAGCCGCTGAAGTGCAGCCGCTGACTCTTGCTAGACCCGTGCATCGGCTACCGACTGGACAGCAGCCTCCGCCTCCACCGCCTGCACCTGCGGCTCAGCGGGCCTCTCTTTGGACAGGGCACCCTGCCGGCATCGCAACGCCAGGGTCCCATCCGTGGCCATGGCTGGGGCTTCTCGGCACCTCACCGTGGTGCCCTGGCAGCTCGTCGTGGCGTTCGCCTGCCTGCTTCGGAGTTGCCCCGCGCTGCAGGGACAGTTCTCCTCCTCCCTTGGGATCGACTCCCAGCCGGCGCTCTACCTGCCCACCCCGGGTGCGCTCAACCGCAGTAGCCCCGACCGCCCCAGCGTCCTGATTGCCAACCCCGGGCTCCGGGTGCCCCTGGGCCGCTCGCTTTGGCTGGACCCGCTCCGGGACCTGGTGATTCGAGTGCAGCCCGGGGACCGGTGCGAAGTGACGGTACTGGATGCGCTGCCGCTGCTCCAGGGCGCGATCTCCCCGCGCCGCTTCCCCTGTGCCTTCGGGCCCCGCCAGGTCCAGTACACCCACTTCGGCTCCCGCAGCCCCGGACGCGCGCGGGTGCGGCTGCAGCTGCGCCACGACGGCCCGACTCACACGCTGGTGCTGCCCTTCACCGTGGCAGTGGACGTGGTCTTCTCCCAGCCGGAGCTGGTGACGCGCAACAGGCGGTTGGTGGTGGAGAAGCTGCGGGGCTGGAGCCACGCCATCGACCGGAGCGTGCTGGGCTTCGTCTCCCGGGAGTCCGGAGCCGCGGGCACGCGCAGGTGCAGGCTCACCCCTCTTCCCCACGAGGGTGGCCCACTGCCCAAGTACGGGCGCTTGGTGGACGCGGTGGGGACCCCCGTCCCCAGGGGCAAGGGTGTGGACTGTGAGGCTTTCGTCCGCGCCGGGGTGCGCTATCAGCACACCGCCGCCACCTCCTCGCCCAGCCGGGACTACGTTCCCATGCTGGTGGAGCTGCTGGGGACAGGCGGCGGAGGTGCTGGGTCGGTGGAAGTTCTGAGCCGGGAGCACTTCCAGCTGCTGGTGAGGATCCGCGCGGGGGCTGAGAACACAGCCCCCTGCCCCAGCTCCGCGGCCCTGATGATGATGGAGGTGGACCGGTCGGTGCTAACAGCCCTGACCCCTGACGCGCTGGCCGCGGAGGACGTCGAGTCAGACCCTGACGACTTGGTCTTCAACATTCTCAATGCCCCCACAAGCCCACCAGGCCAGCAGGGCTACGTGGTCAGCACTGACGACCCCCTGGGCCTTCCAGTCTCCTCCTTCACCCAGCGGGAGCTGCGAGAGCTGAAAATTGCCTATCAGCCCCCTACGGAGATCTCGGATGGGGAGCGCCTCCTCCAGCTGGAGCTGGAGGTGGTGGATGGAGACGGCGCCACTTCAGACCCCTTTGCCTTCGAGGTGATAGTGAAGCCCACGAACACCCTGACGCCGGTGGCTAGCTATTACCCGGGACTGCTGCTTTTTGAAGGTCAGTCAGTGCCCCTGCCCAGTGCCCCTGACCTTCAGATCAGCGATAAAGAGAACCTGGAAGAGGTGAAGATGGCTGCAGTCAGGGGCCTGAGACATGGGCAGCTGGTGGTGCCTGGGGCACCTCCCGGGGGCAAGTATTTCACATTGGCAGACTTGGCAGCGGGCCGCGTGGTGTACCAGCATGACGGCAGCAACACCTACAGTGACAACATCATCTTCCGCATGGAGGATGGGCACCACCAAGTGGAATTCCTCTTTCCCCTCACCATCATACCTGTGGATGATGAACCACCAATGGTCAGGGTCAACACGGGACTCTCACTCACTGAAGGGCAGTTGGTTCAGATCACGCCCTTTGTGCTGAGTGCTACAGATATTGATTCTGAGGACTCAACCATCCACTTCGTGCTGAGGAACCAGCTTCCAGAAGGAAAAGAGGGCGAGAAAGAGTGGGATCTGGCCCCTCATTCCTCCCACCCAAGCCACCATCTGGGGGACGTGCTACTTCGGCAGGCAGAACCACCTCTGTCCCCTGCAGATGAAGACTGGCACTATGTGGAGAAGGAAGGACTTTATGAGAAGGTGGTGACTGAGTGGCTGCAGAGAGACATAACAGAAGGGAAACTCTTCTACTGCCATCTTGGACCACACAGCCCTCAGTCTGTAGTAGCCCAGCTGGCTTTCCATGTGCAGGATGACCATGACCCACCGAATCTATCCAACCAGCACTTCTTCACCATCAAGGTCCAGCCAGTGGATGTGCTGAGTCCAGAGCTGTATCCAGGAACTACCCTAGAAATGACTGTTCAGGCATATCAACTCACTCACTTCCAGAAGAAATTCCTCCGATACATTGACCAGGACTCAGATGACCAGAGCCTGTGGTACACACTGCTGACACTCCCAACTGACACAGATGACAACTGCCAAGTCTCAGCTGGAGAAATTGTGCTTACTGATTCACCAGACACACTTATCATGCACTTCACCCAAGCCCAGGTAAATCACCACAAAGTTGCCTACCAGCCTCCCCGGAAGCTGGGTATTGTACCGCGGGTTGTGCAGTTCACATACCAGGTGGAGGATGCTGCAGGCAATAGTGTGCAGGGAACATTCACATTATTTTTGCAGCCTGTGAACAACCAGCCTCCTGAAGTCACCAACAGAGGGTTTACTGTCTTTGCTGGAGACAGCTTTATTTTCAGCAGCAATGAGCTGGATGTTACAGACCCTGACACGGACATTGACCAAATTGTCTTCATATTAGTCTGGGGTCCCCAACATGGACACTTGCAATACTTTAAAAAATGTATGGTCCCAGGGGAATCTTTCACTCGAGCTGATGTTATTAATGGGAGTGTCTCTTACCAGCATGTCAGGGACCAGATCACCACTGACTCCTTCTATTTGGAGGTAAGCGATGGGGTGCATCATGTACCCATCACTGTCCAGATTTCTGTGCATCCCACTGTGACTGACAAAAGTCCCAGGATCTCTATTACAAGAAGTCCATTATTGGATGTTTCCATAGACGTACTAGAGAATAAAGCCACTGAGATCACCATGGGTATAATTCATGGCAAAAAAGGCACAAGTGACTTGATGCTGTCTTTCAAGGTGGAGAATAGCCCCAAGTTGGGCACTGTTTTGGTGAATGGCTCACCTACAGAACGATTCACCCAAGAGGACCTCATCAATGGGGCAGTAGCCTATGTACACACTGGAGGTGAAGTTGGTTTCCAAGAGCAGCATGATGCCTTCAATCTCACCCTCTCTGAGGATTCTTACCAGTTTGTAGTGGGTAACAGCATAGTAGAGAGAGTGCAGGTGCAAGTAACTGTGCTGCCTGTGGACAATGTGGGCCCCAAGGTCTTGGTGGGGGAGTCCTTCATTGTCTTTGAAGGTGGGAAGAGCCCCTTGACCTTACAACATCTCAACATTGAAGATGTGGACACTCCCCAAGATGATATTCTATGCACAGTGACTGGTCAGCCAGCCTCTGGCTACCTGGAAAACATTGCACCAGCTCCTGGTTCAGAAGTTTCCCGGGCTGGTAGCCCCATCAGTGCTTTCTCCATCAAACATGTCCGAATGGGGTATATCAATTACATACAGAGTATCCACAAGGGCGTAGAGCCACGAGAAGATAAATTCACCTTGTTTTGCTCTGATGGCATCAACATCTCCCCAAATGTCTTCTTCCATATAATCATCTTGCCCACCAATGATGAGCAGCCTGAACTTTTTGCCCATGAGTTTGTGGTATTAGAGGGGATGAGCCTGGTCATAGACACCCCACTGCTCAATGGAGCAGATGCTGACATGCCACCGAATGGGCTTCACTTTCAACTCACAGCCCTCCCTCGGCATGGACGAATCATACAGCAGCTGGCCACGGGCAGCCAGCCTGTCCGCAGCTTCACCTTACAGGAGATCCAGGAGGCCTCCACCATTGTTTATGAGCATGATGACTCAGAGACCACAGAGGACAGTTTTGAGGTCTGGCTGAGTGACGGCAAGCACACCACCCACAGGAAGGTGTCCATCTTGGTGATCCTGGTGGATGATGAAACACCTCAGCTGACCATCAATGATGGGCTGGAAGTAGAGACCAGACACTCTGCAGTCATCACGAATCAGGTCCTCAAGGCAACAGATCTTGACTCAGATGCTAAGAGCCTCAGTTTTGTTCTCCATTCTGGACCTCAACAAGGGCTTCTACAGCGACTAAGGAACCCAAGAGGAGAAGTGAAGACCAATCTCACCGGGGGAATGAACTTTACCCAGGATGAGATTGACAGAGGCCTCATCTGTTATACCCACATAGGCCAAGGAGGGGTTGTTGACTTTATCAAGTTTGATGTGACTGATGGGGTTAACTCTTTGACAGACTGCTACTTCAATGTTACCATTGGCAGTTTAGACAGGGTCTTCCCTGAGGTGATCAGCAAAAGGACCACTTTGACAGAAGGCAGCAGAGTGACCCTCACCACCAATCTGCTTAGCAACAGGGACATCAATAGCCCTGATGAACAACTTCACTTTAACATCACACGGACACCAAGCCTGGGCCACTTGGAAAGCTCTGACAGCCCTGGGGAGCCCATTGCCTCTTTTACTCAGTCTCAATTGATTAGCAACAAAATATCCTATGTTTATACTTCAAATAAAGAGGGCAATATGGATAGCTTTGAGCTTCGAGTGACTGAAGAACACAACCCTGTGTCCAGAGCCCTTAGGATCTTCATCACAGATGCAGATCATAAGAAACCTATCTTGACCCTCCATCAACTAACACTGCAGGAAGGGGATAGCAAACTGATCACACCCTTGGAATTGACAGTGGAAGATAAAGACACCCCAGATAATCTTATTCTCTTTACCATCACCCAGGTCCCCATCCATGGCAAGATTCTGTATAACAGTAGCGGTCCTTTGACCACTTTCACCAAGCAAGACCTGAGCAAGAACCTGATTAGCTACTGGCATGATGGCAGTAAGACCACTGAAGACAGTTTCTCCTTGACTGTGACAGATGGCACTCACGCTGGTTTCCATGTCTTTCCCAACACTGCCCTGGAGACACACGAACCTCAGGTAATGAGGATCCAGATAATCTCCCTAGACAGCAGGCTCCCCCAGATTGCCATTAACAGGGGTGCTCCAGCCTTGAAGCGCCTTCACACTGGGCACCTGGGCTTCCTGATTACCAATAAGTCTCTGAAGGCAGAAGATCAGGACAGTCCTGACAGGCTCCTGAAGTATAAAGTGACCAGAGGACCAAACCATGGCTTCATTATCAACACTGGCCTTGGAAACCAGAGCATTCGAGAGTTTATACAAGGTGAGTGCACATTCTTCCCTGACTCCTCTGTCTCTCTCTTTCATTGGATCTGATCTCTCATCAGCTCTGTGTAAAATTGTTCTGACCTCAGGCCATTTGCAATAAGAGCCTGTTTCTAATAGAATACTGTGGAATGTGAAATTATTCTAAAAATAAACCAAAAAAAAAGCAACACATCCTTTTTCAGCTATTTCATCAGAATGTCCATTTAAGAGGAACCCACAGATATTAGCTTACAGTTATAGCTTAAAACTACAAAACACAGGACAGCTTCTGCTTCTGACATAGTGTAAGATAAGGATACATTCATTTTGATAATCTAAGTTTAGTTTTGAAGTTTAAGAATGTCATATCTGGAAATTGTTTGCATAGTTAGTAAGTCTATATTTTTTATGATGATATTGGGTATCTAGATTTTGGATTTAAGTTATTACACTGCACATTTTTATCCTACTATTCAAACGTAATTTATACATCCAAAACAGCATAGAACTACATTTGCTTAAAATTATTTTTCTTTTATATTTGTGTTACTACTGATGGTGAACTAGAGGCAAGTCCCTCTGCCATCCCAGAAGGTATGACACCTGTTGGCTTTTGACTGTTCATGTTGTCTTGTAACTTCTTCAGGTAGCTCTATGCATGGGAAGTGAAGAGATGCATGAAATTTCCCACATATGATACATGTAAACCTAGATGCAAACTCAGAGGAAAACTTATGGAGGGTGTTTAAAAAATAGTTTACATTTTCAGAATTGCTTCTAAAGCACATGAAATCATATGTAGTTCTACGAGAATTGTCCCTATAAAATAAATACCCCCCAAAAGCAAACTGTCTTTAAATTACTAATAATTACCAATATAAAAATATGATTATAGACCCAAGTAACAAATTCTTAAAAACCCAAGAAAATAAGCAATAAAAATCATGATTTTATTCTCATTTTCTTTTTTCTAGGGATACAGCAGTCATTCTTGCTTAAATTCATTTTTACAAATAATCAATGGGTGTCCACTATTATGCCAAGCTCTGTGATTGTGTAGAAGACTTAAAACCAGGTAGACCTGGCTCCCGGTAGAGTGCCAGGATGTCGTGAAGTACACTTAACTAGAATGTCCTCCTGGTTGGACATTACCCCAAAGAACATGCACATAGTACCACTGTAACAAAATTTTAAACTGAAGATTTATTGTTGTCATTGTGACTTTAAGAAAAAAGTAGATACATGTTCACTGAATCAGTATTTTAAAATTTAATAATTGCGGCATTTCATTGCCCTATTAAAACATTGAAGTTGTTAACGTGCTCCTTTTCTACTGTGCCAGTGTGACTTATTGTGATGATGGCTCTTTCTTTAGGTGACATTGATGAGATGAGGATCCACTATGTCTTGAACGAAGGCAGCAATGCGACAAAGGACATCTTCTATTTCTCTGTTGAAGACAATGGTAAGTCGCTACCAAAACCTTAAACAGGACTTGTGGTTAATTAACATCAGTATGAAATTGAAAGAAAATTAAATCACTTATATAGCAATCATAATCAGTAATGTCATAACACCAAGAAATGAATTATTTTTGTTTTATTTATGGTCCTGTGCCAAAGGATTCTTAACAAATCACATTTTAGGAAGGGAAAGCAATGAGGAATTTGATGATTGAAATATGAAATGTTTTTCCTGACTTAGATTATATGTAACATTGTATAGGCAAGTGAATCTCATCTTCAAGAGAGTCTGAGAATCTAGCGAGGGCTATCATTCTGAAACAAATTAGAAAATTCACCTTCAGACTTTGTGATGATTTTTAGCAGCAGAACTGCGTCTTATGGCTCCTTGGCCTTAGAATTGTAAGCATTCTGGATATAGGGTGAAAAATATATTTCCTAGCCTAGAAAAAAACTTGCTTAAAAACTGTCCATTTATGCTGTACCCATGTCTGTCTACTAGTCTCTTCAAAGTAGCATAAATGGGCAGCAATGGGTTAACAGGAGGTACTTGATAGAGCTAGTGATTATGGGATCAGAAGAAAAATCATTTTGCAGTATGACAGGATAATAGCAGAAATTATGTCTGTGTGCTGCTTGCCACTCAATAACCTCCTTCAGTACAAATCATTACTCATTCCTAGTAAGTAACACGTGCTTTCTGCCTAAGTCATGTGTAATCAGTCAAGAACTGAATTTATTAGAAAGTAGTCCTGTATGAAAGGCCATATGGTGCACTGGGTTAGAACCCCAACTTGCCCTTAAACAAGTTACCTTGTCCCCTTTGTCATTTGCTCCCCCATCCATAAAATGGTGGTCCCTATACCTATGTCCAAAGGTTGCTAAGAGGACTGAGTGAGATAATATATGTAAAGCACTTGGAGCAAAATAGATGTTCATTAATGATTACCTTCTCCCTTTCTGATAAAACTAACTACAGTGGAAACCACTAATCCCTCCTCTTCTTCTCCTCCCTTAAAGTTTGAAATCAAATCTTTCCTCCCTTTCCCAAGTTCTCAAGAATCACAGTTACTAAAAATATGCATTTATGCCTTTTAAACAGATTTATAAAGAAATGCAAGAAAAATATTTTATATTGAATACTTCCCTTTCTGTTTTTGAAAAGAATGATACCCTAAAAAATGTACCTCTGACTCTGGCACTATGCTTTGTGGACACTTCAGAAACAAAAGTCAGTCTGCAATGATACTATAATGTGAATTTTATATAGCCACCATTTTTTAATGCTTTTTGTGGGCCAGCCAGTGCTTATAAACATGATTTTGAGTCCTCGCTACAAAATAAGAGGCAAATGCTATGATGCCCATTTTAAAATTAAGATACCATGGTTGAATAATTTGCCTAAAGTCATACAAGTAATAAGGAAGTGAGCTGGAATCAAATCCAGGTCTTGCAGATTCCAAAGCCAAGGCTCTTAGCTGCTAACGCTACACTCACTTTGCTTTGGGAGGCTGAAACCATGGAAAGAAGTCAGAGAACAGTAAGACTGCACTTCCTAACCTGACAAAGAAGCACCTTATAAATTAAAGTGATGAGAATGACCAAACACAGACTCCACAACACTTGAGGACACATTCGTTCATAGCTGACCCTTAAAACACACATGCATAAGCTAATTAAATATCTATGTATTCATTTATCTAGTGGAATCTTAAGTTGCCTTCGGAGTGCCACACACAGAGCTCAGATCCATGTCTGCCAGGGACGAGCATTCTTGCAACAGCTGATGAAGGACTCACTTTACATATGTTTGGATTTGATATTTTCAAATTTTATGAATCCATCTCCTTACAGTGACTAACTAAATCTCTTTTCTTCCAAAGCATCCTTACTTTTAAAACACTTCCCAAGAGGAATGTTTATTGAAAAGTACAATTTGATCTATCAATATTTTTTTCTTAACAGCACATAGCACTAACAAAGGTACTACACACTTCTTGGGATACATTTTCACCATTGGGCCGAAGTAGAACTTGTTGTTGTTGTTTTCAATTCCAATATTCAAACCATTAAAAGAAGGTCATGCCCTACCTGCAGACCTGTACATGAGGGGAGGCATAATTGTAGGGGAGGGGAGGCATAATTGTAGTAAGATTGTAAAACAGTTCTATGGGCCTTCGAAGATGATGTCATGATAAGTTTGTATTTGTTAATATGGAAAGAGATTCAAAATGCTCTATTAAATGAAAAAAGCCAAGTAGAAAACTGTAAAGATGTAAAGGAGATTACATTTTGATATATATGCACATATGAAAAGGTCTAAAGCATATAGTGAGATGTGAAATTGTTTTACACAGCAATGATGAAGTATAAATTGTTTTTCATTTTACTTTTCTTTACATTTTCTTGCATAAATGGTTTGCAATGACCACAAAATTGTTATTAGAGAAAAAGCAATTTCCATTTAAGAAAAAAAAATGCTTCAATACATCACAACCAACTTGGTTCAATAATATTGATTAATATGACTAACCACATTATTCTGGCTTATACAAACGTCAAAAATATCCCCCTTAATGATGTAATGGGTTCAGAAATCTAAACAAAGGAGAATCACGTCGTAGTTTCTTCTCAGGCAGGAAGAAATCAATAGCTAGACCTGTTGCCGACTTGTTCCCTCGTGAGTGTATCTTGCTTGGATCTTTTATTCCTTTATAGATGGTGACCAACAATGAATTGTTAGCCTTTGGACAAGCTGTAGGCAAAGCAGATCAGATCAGGAGACCATGGAGTAGACAGCTAGAAGGACAAAGGAGACTCACCAACAGTGTTTCCAGGGCCAGGAAAGCCAATCTGTAGAAGAATTCAGAGGTGTGAGAGGGAGGAAACAGCGACTGAGGGCTGGATTTCTGATTCTGTGCTGAGCAAAATGTTCTATCATTCACACCTCCCTGATGAGAGATGCCAGATAATCCCCCCTTTGTGTCATTTGTTTTATGTTGAAACCATTGATTCTTCATAGAAAGATGGAAAAGGTATTACCTATTTATTTACCTTTTGGTCATCTTATGAGTTATCCAGAGTCAGCTCAGCCATATTTTCTGAGTACTATGGAAGCCAGGCCTGGAATCAACTGTTGCTTCAGGCAATTTTGAACTAAAAATTAATTATTTTATAAAGGGCAACATCCAAGATTGAGTTGGTTTTAGAAGAGGATTCAAAGAATGAGGGAATGGTAAGGAACAATATTGAAATCTATCTTAATGGGCACACTATTAAAACCTTGTTTGGGGCATTGTTAATGATACTTCACACTGAAAGCTTTAAGTTTAAAATCATGCACATAAATATCTGAACATAGAGGTATTTTTAATATAAATAGTCTAAAATATTTTAAATTGCCTATAATTTCTCCAACAAATAACTGCGATCTACAATTTTAAAAAACAAAATACCCCCATCTACCCAAAGGAAAAAAAGACATTCTATAAAAAAGACATCTGCACTAGAATGTTTACAGGAGCACAATTCACAACTGCAAAGATGTGGAAACAACCCAAGTGCCCATTAACCCATGAGTGGATTAACAAAATGTGGTATATGTATACCATGTAGTACTATTCAGCCATAAAAAGAAATGAATTAATGTCTTTTGCAGTAATTTGGATGGAACCAGAGACCATTATACTAAGTGAAGTATCTCAAAAATGGAAAAACAAATACCATACATACTCTTTAATAATTTGGAACTAATTTATGGACACACATGGGCACAGAGAGAAGTAAAAGTCATTGGAAATCAAGACATGGGGAGGGAGGAGGCATAAGAATTATAAAAGCTATCCATGTAACAAAAACATTTGTACCCCCTTAATATTTTGAAATTAAAAAAGAAAAAGAAAGAGAGAAAAAGAAAGAAAGAGAGAGAGAGAGAAAAAAAGAAAGAGAGAGAAGGAAGGAAGGAGGGGGAGGGAGATGGAGGAGGGAGGGAAGGAAGGAAGGAAGGAAGGAAGGAAGGAAGGAAGGAAGGAAGGAAGGAAGGTTGGTTAAGAATAGATTTTTTAAGTATTTTCTACTAGTAAATCGATACCAACTATACCCAGGGACTCTGTCATCTAGATTGCATTTTCATGTATCTCTTGCTTTTCATTTTCTAATTGCTAAATATCCTGATTACCACATACATCAATTTAAGAAACATCTTATTGCTTGAGAAGAAAGTTTATTGCTTGAAATATCAAATATGTTCTTGTCTTGCATTATGTAAACAGGCCCTTAAATAATCACTTCCAGAACAAATATAAAATAAAACTTTACAACCTCAAGATAAGATCCTAAATTCCATATACACACACATCTACCTAGTAAGTAGATAATTATAAATATGCATGTGTATATAAATATATGAGACATATATACACAACAGCCCTCTACAAAGAAAAAAAACATTTTGATTCATTTGTCTTGGCTACTTAACATGTATCTATCTTCTTGATAATAATGTAAAATACTTCATTTTCAAATTCAGGCTCAGTATTTACCCACCACTTAACTCATACCAGGTGTTGTGCTAGACATACCTTACCTCTCATTTAATCTCCACAATACTATCATGAGATAGATATGCTCCTCCATTTTATAGCTAAAGAAACTAAATTTTGATGAGGTTGAGTGAAATGGTTATTATTATTAATGTTATTATCACTCGAACATTCTAGGAAGTCACATGGAAGGATAAGAAAAATCACAAAATTCTAATCCTTCTGAAATTAGGTCAGTATTAAAAGTATCTTTAAATATGTTGATATACTGTTAGTTTAAAAATTACACATTTCTCTGGAATGCAAAAGATTTAATTTAAATCAAAAATTACAAGTAAACATCTGGAATCTGATGTTTATATAGTGCATGCATTGGGACAAGTTCTTAGGTATCTTTTTTGAGTTGTTTTTTTTTTGGCAACAAAATGAACTAGAAAGGTAATTGGATATATTCATTAGTG